ATAATACTTTGTGTCACAGGCAATGCATCTTTTTAAATTTTGTTCAAAGGCTGTGTATCTATGAAGTGTTTTTGTGTCAAATATTTAAAGTCCTTAGAAACAGAAACAATGAAAAATAAAGGAAGGACAGATGGTATCTGAAATATTCAGAGCGCTGCTCTGTTTGGATCCAAACACGCTTTGTATGCATAACCTCTTTCAGGATGTTTGTACAATATTTGATTCCACGTTGCTGGTTTTCGCCTGACGGATTCTCTTAGATAAGCTGCTGGGTGGGGACAATTGTTTGTGGTTTATTTGGACCCAAGAACATTTTCTACGTCTGTTGGCTTTGGCAGATGAGCTAAATGTCATTTGAGCTCCTGAGAGTGATCATCTGTGGTGCAATTTAAGAGGAGCTGTGGTATGGATGGGATCATTTCAAATAAATGCCAGAAACCATAATTAATAACTGAATAAACCCACAGAATTGGTTCTGATATCCAGGAAATAAAATGAAATCGTTTTATATTAGTTCACTAAATGAACCAAACTAAATATGTGAAGTCGATCGGGTTAAACTGCTGCATGTGGGTGTAGCAGTCAGATCCCAGAACATAATTATAACTCACCAGTGTTGTTTGTGTCTGCTGCCATGTCACTTATTAGTCTGGAAGCTTGGGTATTAAAAAACTGTTCCCATGAGATGAAACCTGTCCTACAGTAAATGTTCAAGATGGAAAATGGCATTAATTGAAAATCACGTTATTGGATTCTGCTTAGATGATAAAGCTTAAGATCTCTTGCAGTGTGTAGGTTTTGTAGACACGCATGTGATGAAGCAACATGTAGGCATTCTGCCAAAACAAGCTTATGAAGTGTTCCAGCTGTGTGTTTGTATTCTCATGATGCTAACTAATGCTAAAGCTAGAGAACCAGCCCAAGTTATGATATAAGAATAATGTAACAAAGCAAACATTTCTTCTTGTATATTAAAAAGTAGATGTCCCATTTTCATTGTCATTGTTGGTTGCTCACCTCTGGAAAAGGCTGTGTCACACCTTTATTATGTTCTCTTTGAACATTTAGCACAGGATTGATTGGACACATTAGACGATTGTCGAGTAAACGTTATCTTATTCTAGGATTCTATGATGCCAGTGTTTGGCTGATCCCTAGTATTTATGGCAGAGTGACAAATTCACTATCTTTACACACTGAACGTACTTGACATTTAAATGTGTACGATAATGAGAAATGCTAGTAGAGAGATGTTTGGCTCAAAAACTGCAGCACTTCTGTATCACAGTGCCATCAAGCCCTTGGATCTGTGTTTTTTTTTTTTTTGTTTTTTTTTTTGCTTGGATAACTTGCTAGGATTTGTAATTTAATGTGATCTCCACTTTTTGTTTTCCCCTAAAGTTGAATATTTCTTCACATTTATTTCTGTCTTTCAGGGAGTTGTCATCCAGACAGCAGAACAGCTTCCCGTTCAGGAAGGCCAAAGAGTCTAAGCTGATCTGACACTGAAGGAAGAAGAAAAGATGTGATGGAACAAGGGAGGAATACAGTGCTTAAACCTTACTATGTAGTTTGGTTTGGGATCTGGAATAGTTGGTAAAGGATGTGTGATTAAGTTGCACCTCAAACACGCCCAGATCATCTGAGGTCAATCTGATTTTATAGTTTGTGCTGAGCTGTATAGCCAATCTCAGATCAGCCGCAGTGTGAAACCTGCTAACTGTTTTATGTAGTTTGATTGTGTAACTGAAATTTTATTGTGTGCTTATTTTCTGTCTACTGGTGCAATGTATTTCTTCTAGTTGAATCATAAATGCTTAACACTGACATTTTATTCCCTTTAGCAGCTGACACTAATAAATTATGATATTGTTTTTGAAAGTGACACCTTATTTATTTAGGAGCATGCCCAAACTGCACTCTGCGTTGGTTGTGCCAGTTTTTCATCAGACTATCAGAGCCACCGTCTTACTATGTAATTATTTTGAACCAGTATTGGAACTCTTATCAGTCACACCCAGAAAGTGTCACCAGTGCTCAGTCTTTGATGTTTGTGTTCACTGCATTTAAATTGAGTGGAAAAAGCTTTGGAAATTGGGTCAGTTTGACTGGTTATTGGTGCAGTTGTGCTCCAGGATAAAAGCAGTGGCTTCTGGTTAAAATGCTGAAAATGACCACATTCTACAGACGAGGACTGTCTTGTAAACATTAACTGTCATTCCTCCCTCGGACTCAAAAATAGCAGGAACAGAAAGAGCAGAATGTTTTTGTAGCACTGCAATAAATATCAATAAGTTCAGGGTGTTCAGTGTGTGCCTTCGATACTGGAGACTGTGGTTTACATTTAATATGACAAAGCTCAATATTAGCATCATTTAATCAGACTTTAACATACAGAACTGTGGAAAACAAGAAAACACAAGAACTTTGGTTTGGATTTCAATGATTGTGGCTCCCTCGTGATGTAAATTTTAACCAGGAAGCTTGTGCGTAAGTCTGACTCGTCCTGGTGCTTCTTTACCTTAGTATGTAACTCTGCATTCCAGCCACTGAAGACGGCAGTCAAAGCTGAGCACTGGAAATATTTTGGAGCTTGTGGTTTAACATCATTAATGGTTTACGTAGCTTTCTAGTAGAAGAACATTTGACTGACATGGAATGACTGAAATAGATTTTTGGGGATGACCCTCAGTTAGCAGCTGGTTGTACTGAAGCGAAGCTGGCAGCTTCTAGCTGCATTGTTAGGTAGCATGATCTTAACATTTGAAACTTGGCAACATTTCAGGCCAGTATGTGTATATAATCTGATCTCTCACCTCCCACAGTTCAAAGTAGAATAATGCAGGTTTATGTGAGTTACAAAAGCAGAAGGGAGTCAACTTGTTAAATGTCACAGATGTGTTTGGAATAATTGATATTTTTGAAAATGTCTTTAAAAAGGGTTTCCTAATAAGTAACTTTTCACAATATCATGTCTATTTCAGAGCATGCAACTGTTTTAATTTAAGATACTGTCGTTAACTCACATTTGAAGTAATTAAATGACGTGACTGGTTTTGGAAGTTAACATGACTGCAAAGATTACATTTTTAAACTGATCTACTTTGTTTAATCTTAAATTCTGCCTTTTCATTCAAATTTATATTTTATTTGTCACACACAACCATACACAGTACGACATGTGGTGAAATGCTTATTGCTGTGCAATGCCCGACCATTAAATGACAGTGAGATTTAGAGATTTACAGATGACTACAAAATTTACAGATTTTAACTTAGAAATTTACAGTAAAATGTGCAAATAAATAACGATTTACAGAGGAAATTATGAAAGGAAAAATAAAATCATAAGAAGTGTGCCAATAAACAGAGTGCGTGCGGTGATGCGATGTGTGTGAGAGTCCAGTCCTACACCTGGTTCAGGGCAAGAATAGCCTGGGGGAAGAAGCTCCGCCTCATTCTCTCTGTTTTGGCCTTGAGGAAGCGGAAGCGCTTCCCAGACCTCAACAGTGAGAAGAGCCCATTGTTGGGATGGGAGAGGTCCATCATAATCTTGTCTGTCCTGCTTGGTGCTGTTCCCAAACCAGGTGTGAATGTTTTCCGTCAGGATGCTCTCGATGGTGCAGGAGTAGAAGTTCTTATTCTCTCTAGTCTGACTTGTTTCTTTCTGCTTGGAAAAATTCAATGTCCCTTTTCCAGTTTATCCACTCTCCCTCTTCTGCACGGGTCCAAACCATCTGTCTTTCCACTCTTTCTCCAGCTGTCACTCTCATATACTTATTTGTAATCCCGGCCACACGCAACAAGAATCTAAACATCTTCACCTCTGCCACCTCCAACTTAACAACCTTCACCACCTCTACTCCTTGTATACTCATCATTCCATCTGTTTCCCTCTCAGTCACACTAATGTATTTTGTATTGCTTCTACTGACTTTCATTCCTCTAGTCTCCAGTGCATACCTCCACCCCTCCAGTCTCTCTTCCACCTGCCTGTTACTCTTACTACAGATCAGTACCATCTGCAGACATCATGGTCCATGGAGACTCCTGCCTGACCTCATTTGTCAGCCTGTCCATCATCACTGCAAACAAGAATGGGCTCACAGCTGATCCCTGATGTACTCCCACCCCACCCCATCCCATCTGTCACTCCTGCCGCATGCTTCACCACTGTCATGTTACGTGTCCTGCACCACCCTCACATACTGTACTTCTCTGCCACTCCCGACTCCTCATGCAGTACTATAGCTCCTCTCTTGGCGCACAGATGTGCAACTTCTGATCATCTGTATATTTCTCCACCAACACTCTCAAGGCAAGCATTGCATCTGTAATGCATCTGTGTCAAACATCTGAAACCACAATCAGCAGCTGATTTGCTCAGCTGACTGGAGCGATGTAACGAAGCTTAATTTACATGTAATACAATAATAATAAATTTTTGGTCTTACAGCACTTTATATACCAGATAAACACTAGATTCTGTTCTAACATACTCTAACTGCTCCTTTGTTTCCTTGTTTACCTGGAAAGCCCAGGGTCTCCCTGTTTATTAACACCAGGTTGCAGTGTCACAACAGAAGAGCTTGATTTAGTGCTGGCATTAATCTATCATGTCCCAGCAAACTGCATTTTCAGAGGATGGGTGAAGGGCATAGTCTGAGACAAGCAGACATTGTTCCTGATACTTGGCTCACAGATGGCGGAGGCTTTTAAACGGGGGAGCAGGTGAAAGAAGATAGACTGTGGGAACATTTTTGTATCCTTCACCTCCTCTACATGTTTGCTCCTCGTCCAATTAATAATTTTGTACATGCTCTGTCATTCTTTCCAGTGCAAAGTGTTGTAGCAGTGACCTATTAAAAGCTGTGGAATGTACACTGTGGACCCTCTGACCTTGAAATTAGTTAACCCGGTAGTTCAGGATCAAAGACAAACTGCACAACCTGCCCAAAAAGGCGGGGGTGCACAGAGCAGGTCGCATACCTGTGTTCACTTGGCCTGCACAGTTTCAGTACGTCATTATGAAATCAGCTCTCTCTATGAGAAACATTAAGCCTGTGCTTAGTTTTAAACTGGTTACAGCAGGTATTTTGTTCCTGGATTCACGGGATACTAAGTCTGTTTCTAAGCTGAGGTAAAACGAAACAGATCACATTTTGGTCAAACATTAACACTCTGATGTTTTTACACATTTCCCCGAAGCCCCTAAAATATTGTCATGCTGCAGATTAAGGATTTGTATTTATTGTAGGAAGTCTTAAAACAACAAAAGAACACCAAACCCATTAAGCAGACCTTCCTTTTACGTATCATAAGGGCTATATTTTCAGTGTAAAACATTAAATTTCTGGATTTAAGTTTAATACAGAAAATTGCTGTTGTTTGGGATAATTATATGTAAGGCACCTAACATATTATTACCTCCACCATGGAGGTTTTGTTCCCCATCCTGCCTGTGTAAGTGTATGCTCGATGTTTAAGGAAGTGCTAAAATTATAGGTCATATCAGCTAAATGGTAATCAGATGCCCATTATGAAGCACTTTCATTTCTTTTAAATACCAGAACTGGGATTCACAAATATCATGAAGGAGACAATATTTTTTTACAACTCCTATCTGCAACTATGGTTAATCCATCGTTGACTGTAGTTCAACCAGTGCAGAGGCTCTGGAGCTGCACTTGAATGCAGTCCAACCAACAGGGCTGGTTACCTATCCCGTGGGTCAAATACAGATTTGTTGGAAAATCTTAAACAGAAAAGGAAACACCCTCCCCTCCGTGCTAAAAAGTGAAGCCAACACAAAGTGCAGTTCCTCTAATGGCCACTTGAGGCATCCTTTAAAATGCCGAACTTAACAGCATTAAAACGTTTGTTTAAAGCAGGGGTCCCCAGTCCACAGGGGCCGGTGTCCCTGCAGGCTTTAGATGTGTCCTTGATCCAACACAGCTGATTTAAATGGATAATGAACTAATCATGTGATTCAGATGTGTTGACCCAGGGTGAGATCTAAAACCTGCAGGGACACCGGCCCCTGTGGACTGGGATTGGGGACCCCTGGTTTAAAGCCTGGTATAAAAAACACCTTTGGCCTCTGTGGATTATAATTATTATAATTTTACCCTCCATAGCCGCTCATTAGTTATCCATCTGGATACTGTTGGGGATTAAATTTGATTGTTCAGACTGATAGTTTTGCTGCCTAAAGGCCCTTTTACAGCATGCATGACTACTCACCGGCTTGTCCACGGGCAACCGTTATTGCCTCATACAAGCAATGGAAAAGACTGGGTTTCAGAGTGTTTGCCGAGTCCTACGTGAAAGGGGCTTAACCTGTAGCTGCCTGATAGACGCCACTTTTACCAGTCATTTAACTGAATCTCTCCAACAGGGTTGTTCTTTTGCTGTCGTTCTGAGCAAGTATGCTTGTTTTGCACATACAGTTTATGAATGCAGCTTGCTAACAAAACATGCTAGCCTTATATAATGACTTGGCACTGAGCCCTATGGTCCTGATCAATGACAGTGATTGGTCCTGATGTAGTAACTTCTTGCTAAAGTAAAGACAAACATTGTGGTGGCCAAAGTGCTGACATTGAGGCTTCAAAATGCAAAGTTCAACACCAATTTTGAACATAGAAATGTCCATGTTTGTTTTTTAATCATCTCTATCTATTTACTTTACTAAATACATTTTGTTTTACGTTTTAAGTTTTGGGTTCTCAGCAGCGAGCTAAAGGACTAGCAACAATAATGAAGCTTTCCTGTAGAACGTATTCCATATGTTTTTGACACTGAAGTGACAGTTTGCAGTAACAGTATGTAGACACTTGCCTGCAAAGCTCTTTGTAACATACTACCGTGATGGGACAAAG